GAAAGGAATAAAAATGGGAGAGAAGAGCACAAGGTACTATGGTGATGATTCACAGGGGAATTGGTGGTGGGAATTTTATGGGGAATACACCTAAAGAAGATATCATACAAGCAAGCATACATTGTATATAAATGACCAATGATGCAAAACATTTAAATAATTTTTTAAAAAAGAGACAGAGTTACAACCGAAAATGCTTCCTCTATTCACAAGGATACAATTTGAAATAAAGTTGTAATTTAAAAAATACATAAATAAATAAAAGGATAATATATTCCCTATCTCATACCAGATGAAAGACCTAAATATAACCTAAATAGGTAAATTTCTTAAAACTCAAAGTTCCAAGATTCCAATCAGATTTCTGATTCTCATTTTGCAAGTACAGAAAATGTCAACATATTTGCAATCATGTTTGAACCAATCACAATCCTAGTGACTAAAGTAGCTTGTCAAATTGCATATTCACTACTGTACAGTATTGGAAATGGGTCTGTCTTTGGTAAAGATGAGCTTATATCCCTGTGTTGTTAGCATTACAACCATTTGAGTGTCCTAATGGAACTGCAAGATTGGGCCCTTCCTCTCTTAAAAGTTTTCAACAGCTACAGATCAGATTGCCTTCAAAGATCTGGATGTGGCCATTCTTGTGGGCTCCATGCCAAAAAGAGATAACATGCAAAGGAAAGATTTACTCAAGCAAATGTGAAAATATTTGCAGTATTAGACAAATATGCCAAGAAGTCAGTAAAGTTGTCAGTGAGAAATGAAGCCAAGAGCAACTGTCTAACCGCCTCCAAGTCAGCATGGTCCATCCCAAGGAGAACTTCAGTTGTCTGATGCATTTGGATCACAACCAAGCTAAAGCTCAGATTGGTCTTAAACCTGATATAACTTCTAATGATATGAAGAATGCCATTATTTCAGGCTCAAGGGAGAACTGATCACCACTGAGCAACAGCATGGTTCTGCTATAATCAAGGCTCAAAAGTGATCCAGTGTGATGGCTCCTATACAAGTCATCTGTAACCATGTCAGAGACATCTGGTTTGGAACCCAAGAGGGAGAATTTGTGTGCTTTGGTATTATCTCTGATGGTAATTTCTACAGTGTTCCTGATGATCTGCTCTATTCATTGTTTATTATAATCAAGAATAAGACCTGGAAAGTTGTTGAAGATCTCCGTACAATTGATATCTCACTTGAAAAAGATAGATCTTACCACAAAAAAAAACTAGCATAAGAAATAAAAGCTGCATTTGAGTTTCTGTCCTCTGCCTGCCTAGACAATCATTTTGATTTTAATGATGGTACTTAATGCCCAAAGCTGAAGAATCTAAGCATCTTCTTTGACTCTAGTACCAAATAATAATGTGCTATACTTAAATTAAATGTGTGCAAAACAACACATTTTAAAGAGTGTGGTCTGGCCCTCTCTGATGGCACAAGGGGTTAAAGCACAGCACCATGAAGTGATCTGTAGCCACTGCAGCACAAATTTGATCCCAGCCAGGGAAGTGACCCACATGGAGCTGCAGTCCTCTCTTGTCTTGCCCACTGCTCCTCTCAGTGTTATTTCAGCAGAGCCCCCAGTTCTGCTCCCCACCCACCCTGTCTCTGGTAAATCCTCTCACCAGCAAGACACACCATGATTGGAATAATGAAAAACTGAAATACTATAAATGTCCTTCAGTGGATAAATATATAAACAAATAAAAGTAAATCATATAACAGAATATACAGCAATAAAAAGGAATAAACTAGTGATAAGAAAACAATTTAAATGAACTGTCAAGGACATTAAGTTTATTTTTAAAAGTTTGTAAAAAAGTTATACATTTTCTGACTCCATTCATATAACCTTCTCAAAATGACTTCATTATGTAAGTGTAGAACATGTTATGCTTACCAGGAAATAGGAACTAGGTTTGGGAAGGGGGTGGAGTTAACTATAGAGAGATAAAACAAGGGAAGTCTTTTGTAGTGATCAAACAGCTTTGTATCTTGATTGTGGTGGCAGTTGAATACATACATGAGAACAAATTCATAGGACTATACATATACTTATATGAGCATGAGTTTGTAACAATTGGTGAATACCAAATAAGGACTGCAGTTTAGTTGAAGTACTATCAATTTCCTGGTTATATATTATAATCTAGTTATATTGTTAGGGGGAAAGGATGTCCTGAACAAACTCTACAAGCAAACTCTTCAGATACAGGTTTTTGGGGACACTACCCCGACCCTAGACACAGGAACTACAAATCCCAGCATCACCCAAAAGGAAGATTGCTGGGACTTGCAGGTGGAGTTAAGTAGTAATATTTGGATAAAAAACTGGACATGTGAGTTTGGGGAGGTCTCTTGGCCTTTTGGCTTGTGGCTTGTCTCTTGGCTTTTTGCAGGTCACGTGCCATTGGGGTTCCAGGTTAGCAGAACTGACACATTAAACAACCTCTCTCTCTCTCTCTCTCTCTCTCTTTCTCAGTTATTCACTTCCCTTTCTGTTGTAAATAAACCCATTATCAACCTTTCTGTGTGTGCCTGCAGTTGAATCTCATAAGGCCCTTTAAGCACATACACGGGTGAGGACCCCACATTCAAGCAACCCAGAATAAGTATTAGACACTCTCATTGGGGAGACTGGAGTAAGGTTTCAAATCACTATGTACTATTTGTACAACTCTCCATGAATCTATATTCATTTCAAAGTTAAAAGAACAAATAAAATAAACCAAATAATAACACACATAATAAAAATAATATAGAATTATGCAGAATTAAAATTAAAAATATTCATTATAGAAATAAAGGGATTAATATTTGAACTTAATTTACATAATAAAGTGAAAAGATTTTTAGACTGTCTCACCAAATAAACTGCAACTTTATGCTGCATATAAGAGAAACACATAAGAACAAGTATTTCAAGAAAATTAAGAAATACCAAGCAAAGGCAAGCAAAAAGAAAGACAATTATCTTCTGTGTGGCAACAATGTTGTACTTATTATAAAGGAAAATATCCTAATTTTAGGATATGCACACAAGGTATTAACAATAAAGTGTCAATGTCTAATGCACTCCTAAGATTTATACAAATACATGAGCCTTCCTGGTGGCACAGGGAAGTCTCAAGACTATGAAGCCACTAGCAGCCACTCCAGCAGTTGTTCAATCACTGGCCAAAGCACTAACCCACATGGTACAGCAGACCTCTCCTATTTCGCCTGCTGCTCCCCTCAGCAGTGTACTTCAGTCAATCCATCCTTTCTTTTCCTGGCTCTGTCTCTGGTAAATCTTCCACCACCCCCACCAACCTCTGGCCTCAGTTCTTGTATGCATTAAAATATATGCATACATGTACAAAAACATACAAGTAAAGTGAAAATGGCTAATGATGACTTTTTTTCATTTCAACATTAAAGAAAAGTAGATAAATAATTTCACAATGCTATCTTACTATTCAAGAGCTAAAACTAAATAGTAATAAACTTGCTTTAAAGTTTTATGTATGAGTAACATATTTTGAAATAATATTTCTAAAACCAATATTCACATTTTTAAATTGATCTGGTCAATTATCAATTACCAGAATAACTGTCCTGTTACTTAAGGGCAAAAAACAACAGTGTTACCTAAATGCTGTGTGTCAGGCACTATTCTAAGCATTTTTTTATATATTAATTAAATTCTCTGAAGAAGCCCTGCAAGTAGATTACCACTATCTCTAACTTTCAAGAAAAGAATGCCATAGAAGTCACACAGTAAGTGGTAGAGCTAGTCTCCTAAGTTAGTGGGCACTACTCCAAAATCCACACTCTTTATTATTATTCTGTACTATATTCTTCAAAAACTTTAATCATCCAAAGTATATGACATAGTCAAACAGAGAACCACAAAAAAATCATGTACTACAAATTTATAATAATGTACCAACAGTGGTTTCAGGTGATTTAAATAAATTTGTTTCATTAAGTTCTAGTTATGTTCCTATTGGAGGATTAGTGATTATAATTAACATGATCATGAAATGAAAGATGACCCCATCTTGATTATTAGAGGGCTGACTCTTTAATTGATACATGACCCCCATCTTGATTCACTGGAATAAAAATGGAATCAAAGCAACTTTAGCAATAAAAGTAATTATCCATAACACAGCAAAATATCTCTAACGCAAAAGCTTTATTTAAATTCAACTGTTTGCCTCCCTGAACAATTTACATAACACTTTGCAGCATCTTATAATATAATTTCATGTGGAGCATTTCAGACTAAAATGTTCAGCCCAAAAGATTTTTTTTTCTTAAAATAAGAAGCTTTAAAAATAATAACTGACTTAATAAACCTGAAGTAAACTATACATTGAGATGATAATTAGAAATGTATAATTAATTTTCTTAAGTGTGATAATGGTAGGTAGTTACAGAAAAGAATTATATATATGCCATGTCTTAGTTTTATCAGAGAACATTAAAATTTCAGTAAAGAATACCAGGTATTATTGCTCTATATCAATCTTTTTATTTTTACAGACTTAATAAACATAAATAATATTAGAATAAAATTAAATTTTAAATAGTTGTAAGACTGAAATAACATACTTGGAAACGTTTCTCATACCTGAACTATAATAAATGATAAAAAAAATTTCCAGCTGAGGTAGGGAACAGCAAATCTGTTCTATTAAATATGTAGATATGGGCCCTTCCTAGTGGTATAATGGATTAAAGCGCAGCACTATGAAGCTATCTGCAGCCACTAAGGTATGAGTTCCATCCCCAGCCAGGGAGCTGACCTACATGGTGCAACAGACCTCTCCTGTCTTGCCTGCTGCTCCCCTTAGCAATGCATTTCATTCTGTTTGCTTGTTCTGTTCCCCACTATCTCTGGTGAATCCTCTCAACTCCTCACATCTCTGGGCTATACTCCAGTTCTTGTATGCATAAATAAATAAATCTTTAAAATATATATATATAGATATGTAAAATTTTACCTGCTTTTCCTTTCAATTAGAATGGCCACATAAGATGCTGGCAAAGCGGCACCAAAGCCAGGACTCCATGAGTAGAATTTTCCAAGTATCTTCCTGAAATTCAAATTTGGAATGTTTGTATGAAATTTGTAGTTGGTCATTTCAGCTATTATGAATAAATTCCCCCTCTCAGTCACCCTCTATCTAAATGTCCTACAGTACCTCAAATTCAACATAGCTAAACCCATCCTCTCCCCTATGTTCAAAAACCTATTCTCCTCTATTTTCCTAGATTAATGGTATTAAAACTACCTATCCACCTAATGTGTATCACTTTTAAGACATCCTTCACTCCTTCTCCCTTGCCCCACACATTAAGGCATCCCCTTAATTTTTCCATATGCAATTTATCTCAATTTCTTTTCCATCCTATTGTTCCTTCCTTAATAAAGTTCCTCACCATCTCTCTATGCAGCATCGCTCATCTCAGTTATTAGTCAGTCATATTCATTCACACATTCCCTGAATCCAACATTTCTCACTATGCAAACCTTCCATTTTCTTAACTTGCTTATATACCAAATGGAAATAAAATTACCTATCTAATATAATTGTTATAAATATCACATGAGGCATTTCCCAGCACATAAAAAGTACTCAGAAAATATAAGCTATTATTACAATGATTACTAATATATAATAAACATGTACATGAGAGTGCATGTGTAACATATGTGTAATATATATACGGTAATCAAAGAATGTTTCCTTCTATGCTTTAACAATCCTTAATAACTTCTTATAGCACTTACTAAATATTCTTTTTAGTTATATATATATATGTATCATTTGTCAATTACTCCAATATGTCCTTTGAAAATAAGATTTGCAGTGCCTCGCATATTACAAATGGCCATTTACTGCTTGGGTTTTTAAAGAGAAAAAAAAAAGAAATTTGGACATATTAGGAGGACGTTTCCTTTAAATACAGTATGTTCCTAAGAAAGGAGGAAGCAGCATTTAAAAATTATAACCATTAATCTAAGCAAAGTTGGTCATTATTTGATAATGCATTTTTGTAACAGGACTAAGAATCACAGATCCAATTATCTTTCAAAAAAAAGTACAAAAGTCCTTAAGCACATATAACATGAGTATTTTTTAATGAACACCAGGAATCTTTTGCCTAAAGATAGTCCTTAATCTAATATAAAATCCAAAAAGGAATGTTACTGAGTGTAAAAATTAAGAGAAAGTGAGTTAACAAAAATGTTGCTATATAATATTTTACATTTCCAAAAGTTAACCAAATAGGTTCATAAAATATAAAGATATATGTTGCAAAAGCAATTATTACTTCCAAAACCTAATGACATTATAATTTTATTTTAAGAGTTCATACAAATAATTAGAAACTTTCCAGAGATGGCATAATAAAGAAACTTCCTTACATAGATACGATTTATTCAATGATATAAATCATAGCAGTTATTTTCAACATAATCAAAAGGTTTATAAATATTAATATTCCCATAAGAAAACTTCTATGAAAAGGCAGTTGGAAACTTTTTGTAATGACAGCTAACATATACCCTCAGAACTATTTAGGCAACATTAATGGGTAACATCAAAATGAGGATACTTGGAAATTAGCATTTTAACATGACAAATTTTTTTAAAAGTTTGTTTTTTTAAATAATTGGTAAAGCGAAAGATAAAAAAGTAACTAATAAACATATTAGGAGTATCACAGCACTAAACAGACTAAATTCTATCTGCATCTTCACTGTAAGAAGAGTATGGCATAGGTGATTTATATAAGACAGTTAGGAACAAACATTTTATCAGTGGAATATTGTCAGGAGTTCACTTAATGTTTACATATAAACACAAGCATTCTATAGTACCTTTGAAGTTTGATCACTGCATATGGATCTAACCTATATCATGGAAAGTTTCTTAAATCTCTCACTTATGAAGCTGGGAAGTTAAGAAACCCTCATCATCAACTTTGTATAGCAGGTCTTAGAAAATTAAGCCCTTTTGCTATGTCATCACAAAACTAATTTGAACTCTGTATTACATCTTTAAAACAAATAGCCCGCAATTCTTGGCTTTATGAGCTTTCTTTGAGATAAATGTCAGTTCCCAAAGAGAAAAAATATATAAGCAGTGACCTATATAACATTTAAATAAATGTTTGTTTCTCTTTCAACAAAGAAATTTATATTACCTTCCAGTGATGATTATGAGTACCAACCTTAAAATGCAAAAGAAAGCCATATATAAGGCCCCATTAGCAGTCAGAAATGAAGCAGACTGTAGGATCTCAGGGACTAGTTTGTATAAATAATAGTCTAATTTTCGTTTTCGGAGAATTGCTGCAATCTGGAAAGAGAAAGACTCTTGTTTAATCCAACCAACTTTTCCCACTTAAATTAACTTTTACATGGAAGCTACTACATTAACAGAATGTATTTTTAAATTATGGTAAAAACTCTAGTATTTTACTAGGTCCTCTATAAAAATAAAATGTGCAGGACAGAAAAGTATACACTTTACTGAAATGGCAATATGGATAATATGATGACTGACCTCTAAATATTAAGATAAATATTTCACAATGCCCTAAAAACAGTTTTAAACAAATAAAAATATTTAAATAGAAAAAATTAGAGTGGAATTCAAATGGATGCTAAAACAGCACCATATTACAGTTACTAGCAAACTTATTATAGAAACCAGAGAAATTAATTCAGTTAATTAAAACATGACTATAGCATGTCAAAAAGCATTCTCAGATTACAAAAATAAATAAATAAAGTTAATTTCTGGTCTCTTAAGAGTCCACTTAAAAAAAAGACCTGAAAAATAAATATTGAGAATTCAATATAACAGAGGCAGGTATCACATACTGCCAGAACAGAAATAAGAACAAGTGTCTGTCCAGGGAGATTATAGAAGTTTACTGTAGAAATATAAAGAATATCATATAAGTATTCATTATATACTTAAAATTTAGATTAAAAAATATTTGCTTTTATGGTTGTTGTGTGTAAGCTTTGAATTTATAAGAAATACTTGTAGATTAAATTTTTAAAAGTCCTGATAAATTAATAATAATTTTTAAAAATGAAATCTAAATAGTTATTAAACACACTATTTTTATTAAAAGAAAGAAAAAGAATATAAATCATAAAATGCCCAGATATGGATAATTTATATTGAAGAATAACTCTAGCGTTTGTAATAGAATACAAACTGCCATGGAAGTTGAGCAGAGCTAGTGTAATATAAGGGTAGACAGGAATTTCATTGAAAAGGGGATAAAAGGGCCTCCCCAGTGGCACTGGGGTTAAATTCTCAGTGCTATCAAGCTACCACCATCCACTCTGGCACAAGTTCAATCCCCAGCCAAGGGACTAACCCACATGGTGCAGCAGACCTCTCCTGTCTTGCCTGCTGCTCCCCTCACCAGTGTATTTCAGTAGATCTGCCTGATCTGCTCCAACTCTGTCTCCAATGAATCCTCTCAACCCCTGCACCTCTGGCCTACACCCCAATTTTTGTATGCATTAATAAATAAAAATGAATCCTAAAAAAAGGAGATAAAAGTTAAAGTTGAAAGAGTAGAACTGTCACAGATTACTTGTGAAAGATACTTTTCCATCATGATGAACCATTATTGTAAAGGGCAAGACTGATTTAACAGAGGGGAAAGACTATAGAACTCGCCACTTAAAACCCTCCCCACCATGCCAGAAGTAACACTTTCCCTAAAGTCCACAATCAACAAGTCAAATGGCCTATGACAAAAAAAAAAAAAAAACTTCGAAGTGGATTAAAGATTAAAGTCTTAGATATAAAGCCTGCAATAAAAAAATATATATTATAAAACCCTGGTGGTATTTCTTATGACCTCAGTGATAAAGAGGTCATAAGAGAAATGACCACTGTAGTAAGAGAAATAAAATGACCACTGCAGTAAGGGAAATAAAAGCAAAAATAAACAATTGAGGTTACCTCAAATTAAAAAGGGTTTACAGGGTTAAAGAAAATAGAGGAACATTAAAAAGATATCCTATTGAATGGGAGAGTATATTCATATGTTATATAACCAACAAGGGGCTAATAGCCAAGATAAACAAAAACTAATTTAAGAAAACAATAAATAAATAGTTTAAATGACTCAATTAATAAATGGACAGAACTGAACAGGTCTACAACTCAGATTCACCAAAGAGAAATCTATAAAGCAGGTGCCAGACCAGTTATCATGAGCCCAGGTAATACCAGTTCTGGAAAGTAGAACTGCCCATGGAGCCTAGTACCAGTCCCTGGACAAGACCCATCCCCATGTTCCAAGAAAGAATTCAATCCCAGAAGCAAGCCTGTCATCATGGACCATGTAACCCAGCCTAATTCCATGGATCCAGTCACCAGTTAGCCCCTGTAGAACCAGAGCCCAGAAACACTCATTCATATCCTCTAACTACTACTGTAGACTCAGGGCAGGGCCCACTCCCACAGTCACAAGTACAAGATCCATGCCAATAGCCACTAGCCCTAGGCTTGTCCCCGAACCCAGGAAACAGTCTGCCAGTAGACTCCAGCAGCAAGCCTGTCCACAGAATCTACCAAATAGCACACCCAGAATCTCTGCACAGGCTGAATGGAGAAGGGCTTATACTGCAGTAGCCAGCAGGTAAATTCCGGAAGAGGTACCTACTTCTTAAGATTTAAGAATATAAGATTACCACACCAATACAAGATCACAAAGAATATGAATAAATTGGGAACATGACTCCAACAAAGGGGAAAAATAAGGTATCGATAACCAATCTTCCAGAAATAAAGATCTATAAACCTCCCAAGATTTAAAAATCTCACAAGTTATCTCAAAGAACTTCAGTGAGCCACAAGAGAACACCATTAGAGAACTAAATGAAATCAGATAAACAATTCATGAACAAAATGAGAAGTCAGATAGAAACTACTTTTTAAAAAAAGTCACAAATTATGAAGTTGAAGCATACAATTAAACAAACAAATAAAAATCCATGCATGGGTTCAATAAAAGATTTGATCAACGGCCCTCCCTGGTGGTGCAGCGGGTTAAAGCACAGCACTAAGAGGCTAAAGCCACTTCGGCATGAGTTCGATTCCCGCCTGCCCCAGAGGTGACCACATAGCGTGGCAGACCTCTCCTGACCCGCCCGCTGCTCCCCTCAGCAGTGTACTTCATCGATCTGCCTGTTCTGCACCCCAGTCTGTCTATGGTGAAGCCTCTCACCGCCCCTGCGCCTCTGGCCTGTACCCCAGTTCTGTATGCACAAATAAATAAATCTTTAAAAAAAGATTTGATCAAGCTGAAGAAGAAGGTCAATAGACTCAAACATAGATTATATGGAATTACTCAGGCAAAGAAACAGGAAAAGCCAAAAGAAAAAAGAAGAAGAAAGCTTATGATATTTGTGAAACACAACCCAAAAAAGAGAGAGAGAGAGAGAGAGCAAGATGGGGTGGGGGGAGGGGGAGACGGTTAAGTGAGAGGAAGAGGGAAAACAAGTTTTGAAAGGTGACAGAAAATCACCTAATTCAGAAAAGGAATGAACTACCATATTCATGAAGCACAAAGATCCCCAAACAGATTACTACAGAGATCTTCACCTAGAAACAGTATAATCAAATTCTCTTAAGTTCAAAGACAGAAAACCTGGAAAGCAATAAAAGAGCAAATTAATTGATACAAAAGATTCCAAAGAGTATCAGTAGATTCTTAACAAAAATCTCACAAGCCAAGAAGTGAGGTGACATATTTAAAGTACTAACAGAAAAAAATAAACACCAACCAAAAGTATTTTAGCCAGCAAAGCAGACCCTCAAATGAAGCAGAGATACTAACTTCACCCTATATAGTCAAAATCAGGATATGCTAATACAATGGTGCTATGTAAATCAATTAACTAGAATAAAGGTTTAAAGTTAAAGCATTAAGAACTGCTATAGATACAACAAACTGGTAATGAATATACAATATAAAAAGAATGTGGCATCAGAAACAAAATATGGAATCAGAAGTAAAAGAGCATATTTGTATGTGACCAAAATTGTCAACAGCTAAAAATATGCTGCAAAAATGATTTATGTAAGTCACAAAGCAAAAACCTACAATTGACACACAAAATACAGAGAAAGGAATCAAAGCACACCAAAAAAAATCACCAAACCATAAAAAAACACCATGAGAGGAAAAAGGGTTAAAGGAACTACAAAACTCCTAGAAACAATAAGCAAAACAGCAACTGTTAAGTCCATTCCTCTCAGTAATTACTTTAAATGTAAATGTATGAA